CCGCCCAAAAAAAAAAAAAAAAAAAAAAAAAAAAAAAAAGAAAAGAAAAGAAAAGAAAAGAAAGAAAGAAAAAACCCACAGACACAAAAGTTAAAGGAGATAAAAGGAGGCAGAGTAAGTGGAGAGAGAATAGCTTTCATCCACCACCCGGTCCCAGACCTGCTTCAGTCTAGTCTTCTCTGTGCCGGCCCCTAGCTGTCTCTTTCCTCTCTGGGGTATTTAGGGTAAATGGATCCTTCCTGACAAGGATCCTCATTTATATACTTAGTGGAAAGGACTCCAGTTCCTTATTTAGATTAGAATGTAGCAGCAAGGAAATGTCATCTTTATTACCCGAGAAGACCAGCACCGGGAGCCGGATGTGTTCTGAAGTCACGGCCACATGGCCATTTTCAGATGCCCCGCGATTCAAAGCATGTGTGTGTGTGAAGGCATATGAGATGGATGGTAAAGACACAGGAAATGAAAGAGTCTTTAAAAAAGTAAAAGCTTCCTTACTTGGGAGGCTTTCTGGGTTAATCCGATGACGGGTCTGTCTCAAGCATTTGAGCTTTGTCGTCATTGCTCACCTCCTTGACGTGCTAGTTAGAGGACTGTCTGGTATCCAAGACGACTAGTTTATGTCAGGTCCTCAAATTGCCTCTGACTTTGTTACCACAGCAAATCATTTTTATTTCAGTGCCTGTTGGGGACTTGATTTCTTCTTAATTTGTTTCTTAACCTGGCTCATTTTCTTCTCCCTGTTAACTGTCCCACTAAGTTATTACCAAAAAGGGAAGGAGACATGGGGATTTCGTTCTCTGCTTGAATGTCTTACCCTCTCCCACCTCACTTTGTTGGTTTCTCCCTCCCTGGATCTCTGAGCCAGCAGCCAGGAGGACCTGACCCAGCAGTTGATTACTGGCCCTTTTGTAGGGTCTTGCTGCCACGGGACAGGGATGCTTTCCAGCCTGCAGCAACAGAACACTTGACCTTAAAAGTCTCTTCTGGTCTTTGGATTAGAAAAGGCTTATGTTAGCATAATTTAAGAGCAACCTCAGAGACTTGAGCCCTACTGAGTGACTGACCACTGTTTAGAGTGTTTAGTATCTGATGTTCATTTATCCCCATGTCCTTCATCACAGTTTTTAACCAGGAATGAGACTGATTGGCTGTTTCAGTCCATCAGTTTCTTGTTGATCTCGATAGTATGCCCCTTCGTCCTTTTATCTCCTTATTCAAGTAGCAGTCAGGTTCTTGGTGTGATGGGGCCAAAAGATTCGCAGTTGGCCACAATCCTGGCAGCTCTGAAAGCTAACCTGAGCATCTCAGTGTCTGTCTCAAATTCCTGGCAAATTTTCCACGGGAAGTGAAGCTTCCCCGTTCCCCTGCTTTCTGACCACTGTAAATCCATTTCCCACTTAGGGCAACATGAGGAAGGAGCCAGCCAAGCCAAAAGGAATTTTGTGGATAGAGGAAGCAGGATTAGTTTCATCTTGGGCTAGACAGTGTAGAATCTCAGGCCAGGCCCTTCTTTATAGAATGTTTAATTTTGAGTTTGCCTTATTGGAGCTCCATATATTTGAACTGTTCCCTGTGTAACAAAGTAAATAAGTCTTGGACTCATGTCCTGGATTTAGCTCTTAGCGATTACTCCAGGCCAGCATTTATTCCTTTGAGAATTGTAACCCCTTATTTTTGTTGTGACTTGGGCCTCAGTCCTAAGGTACTAAGTAAGGCAGCTGGATGGCTGTGGCCTGAAGTTGTAGTCAGGAGCATTTCCTGAAGTGCTTCCGAAGTTTCTCTGCTTCTAAAGGATGGGGTACTGTAGCCTTGTTTTGGGGGACCGCCTACTTGGGATGGTAGATGTCCTGACTTGTTGGGTGGCTTTGGTTCTGGTTCCATCACAACTCCCAAAGCTGTGGGCCATTGACAGTGGATTAGACGAAATGAAGGACTAGTTGCCTCCGTTTTGCCTTCTTTTGTTAGTTTGCCTGGATTTCTGAGGAAGGGGGGGTCCCGCCTCCTCACCTCAGCCCATCCCTTCGGTGACTCAGTGTCTCGGAAGGAAACCCTGACTCCTGGGGCCATTTCCTAATGGTACTGTAAGCCAAGCATCTTTGCTTCTGCCTGTTTCCAGGCCCACTCCTTTCCTCAGGGATGGGGATGGGTGCTTTCCTCTCCTGTTGTGTCCAAAAGGAAGGAACATCTTTCCATGGCTAACAAAGGCTAAAGGGGAAGTGAGGAAATGGGAAGAAGCATGTGGGGGCTGGGTAGATTCCCCAGAGCCAAGCCCACCCCGCTAACAAGCGCTGCCTAGGGCTGGTGACGGCCGGCTCGTCATGCTGAACTTGAAAGCACCCCCGCCCCCGCAAGATGATACAGGTACATGAAGTTTAGGTTAAAGGAATGGGATGGGGCGTGCTTTATTTTTATTTTTGTATTGTATATATCAAGAATTACTCTGTCCATCTTTGCTTTTTGCACTCTTTGTTCCCCTATCTGTATTTTGAGCTATTGAGAGAATCGAGAGGCTGCACTTATGAGGGAGGAGAGGCCTGGGCATTTCTACTCGATTCACACTCTGTCCTGGTTTTAGGGGCCAGTGAGCCCAGCTGGTCAAGAGGAGAACAAGTGTGTGCTTCTAGTGCAGTTTCTGTGGGGACCATGCTTAGACGCCTGCTGAAGGTGGGCTGAGAGTCTACAGTTTGGTGTGGTTCGGGCCAGGGCCCAGCCAGTCTCTAATTGGGCTGTTGGGGTCTTACTAATGCTGACTGAAACATTGTGCCAAGAAACTATCTATGGGATCCGTGTCCCCTAAACCAAATCTGTTTTTCTGAAGAGTCTCCACTTGAGCAGGAGAAGTTGCTCAGTGGATACCCTGAGCTCTGGTGATTTAAAAGATAACCCTCAAGTGACAGTGGTATCAGACTCCCAGGAGGACCTGCCCTGACCTGCAAGGCCGTCTGTGGCTTGAGGGTATGGTCATGTTTTCTTGCTCCCACTGACCTGGAGATACTGGAGTCACATTAAACGTCTTGTGAACTTTAATGAGATGGGGTAGTTTTGAGTTAAGCTCATCTCCTTCGATCTGTACCTGGGAACTGTTTGATCCAGTTTTGGAAGTTATCTTTTTGGAGAAGCTTCTGTTTTAAGGAATTTCTCTTTTTGTCCTGCCTAGCCCCTTCTGGAAAGCCCTAACCCTGGCTTCTAGAATCTCAGCCGAGAACTTCAGAAAACAGCAACAGTATTTTCCTTTTCATAGCATTTAGGTCCCTTTCCCTAGAGATTGTCTCACCAGGGGATGCCCAGGGAAAGAACTAGCAGGTTCTCTCCCCTCCTTGGGGATGGGGGAAGGACCCACCCCGATCAGCACAGTGCCTTTTCCTCTCCTGCTCCGAGCCAGGGTGGGCATTCCCTCTAGATTCAGGTGGGGGGTCCTACAGTCCTGGTTGCAGGGCTGCTTCCCCGTGCCCCATCCCCTTGGCTGGCCTATTCTGACGTAATCCAAGTGTCTTCTTGCCTCGAGGAGCCTTAATGGCATCAAGCGGTAACATGTGACATTGCCCTCCACACCTCCCAAAGGACTTAGGAGAGCAAGTGAGAGACTGATCGATACTCCTGTTTGTTTTGGTTTTATTTAAAGACTGGACTGGGGGCTTTGGGCCTCCCGCTGTGTTCCCTGAGGAAGGAGACTGGGGGAGACTGGGTAAGACTGAGTGAGAATGTGCCAAAGCAGGACCGGAAATACCCAGGATCTGTTCAGAAATCTGCCTCTCTCTGAGGGGGGAGATCAAACTAGAGATCAAAGAGCTCTTAAGAAAATTACAAAGAAGCCTTAACGCTCAAATTTTGGAGAGGCCAGAGCAGTTTTCCCTTTCAGTTTGACCTCTCTTGGGGCTCGAGGGCTCAGTTTCTTTCTGTTGTTACAAGACCAGCTTGGCATCAGTAGGTCTGTGGCGGGGCTGGTGGCAGTGGTCTCTGCCTGTGTGTGGCTTGTTGCCCATCTGGTTTGTCCTTCCCCAACTGCCTTTGTCCAGGTTGCTTCGGGCAGCCACATCATCTTGATAAAAACATGATTTGCCGACTGGCTGGGTTGGCAGGAAAAGAGCAGGCTGGATCTCTTGGGACGGGCTCCTCCCAGGAGTATAAAAACGAGGAGCCAGGATTGTGCTGGCAGCCCTGGAAACGCTGGTGCCTGTTCGAGTTGGCAGAGAGGGCCTTGGCACCACTCGCATCCAGGCAGTCTTGTGAGATAGGAGCACATACCACCCAGAGAAGCAGATCTCCATTCTCACCTCTATTTTGAGCTTCAGTGCTTTATTTCAGTATGAGGAAAAAACAACAACAAACTGAAGTGCGTTTTCCGGCCTTATAAAGGACAACTGTCGGGAAAGGAGAGTTAAGTTGCCAGGTAGGAGGGGAGAATTGGCAGGAGAGACGTTCTTGACTCTCCCTTGCTGTGTCATGATCCAGGGAATGAGAAGAAACTGGGCCCTGGATTAGCTCCCTCCTTGGATTTGAGGAATGTCACCTTTCCCTTCCGCAAAGGTCTCCCAGGGTAGGACCAGCTGCCCATTCTGAGCTCAGGGCAGTCTCTCTAGTCATCCTTGGCCTAACCTGGCTTGTTAGGAAACCAACCCTGCCCCTCCAAATTGGGCCTGGCTGCTCTGTTTGGTACCAAGTATTGGAGGAAAAGTGTCAAGTCCTTGGTGGCCCTTGTAGCTTCTACTCTAGTTTCCCATCCTCTGCCTGCAGAGGCTAAACCATCTCTTTGTAGCTACAACCTGCATTTACAGCAGCAGCACAGCAAGATGTAC